AATGTTATGGTGGGCGTGCTTCTGACAAGGTAATATTTGAGCAAAGTAAAATTATAGAAAAATTAAATAAAAAAGATACAATAATGACAGATAAAGGGTTTCCAATTGACGATATTTGTAAACAACATAATATAAAATTTGTTAGATCTTCTTTTTTATAAGATAAAAACAATTTTCAAGAGCGGATGCAGTATTAACTCGTAATATTGCCACAGCACGTACACATTGAAAGGAGCAATTAAAGATTAAAAACTTTTCAAATCTTAGGATCTACAATGCCTGCATGTCATAAGCAAAGCTGATGAAATTTTCAATATTATTTGTGCTGTTGTAAATTTAAGTGCACCAATAATTAAAAATGATAAATTTTGTTCACAATACAAAACGAAATAAAAATACAGTTCCTTAACCTTTGACAATAATTATTATTATTATAAATAATAATAAGTGAAGGACGAAGTAAGAGTCAGCGCATTTCTTTAAAAAGGTCATATAATTAAAGGCATAAATTAAAAGTACAGAAAAGATAAAAAAAAAGGAAGAAAAGATGTATACGAAGAAATAATAACGGTGAAAAATAAATATATAACATAACATTACAAATTTCGGCTACCGAATTGAGCTCTCTTCAGACGTTAAAACACAATGGAAACAAAATTAAAAAATAATTATCGCAAATGTTCACAAATTAAGAATACACGCAGTTCGGTTGAGTCTCGATGTAGAACTCGACATTATTCGTACGATTGAACAGCCAAAAATGTGTCATACGTAGGCTGCTGGAAGTTTCTGTAAATAATATGAAAAAAAAACATGTAAAATTAGGTAAATGGCTTTATTGTTTTTCGAAGTATTCGCCTTTAAGATCGATACATTTTTGCATCCGCTCGAACCAATTTTCGAAGCATTTTTTCCACTCTAAGGCTGTAATCTCAGAAATCAGTATACGAAATGTTTCAACAGCTGCTTCAGGCGACTCAAATCGCTTACCACGGATCTTATTTTTAATGTTTGGGAACAAAAAGAATTCATTAGGTGATAAATCAGGTGAATACGGACAATGAATCATCAATTCGACATTATTACTGGATAAAAAATCAACGGTTTGACGTGCTGTGTGACGGCTGGCGTTGTCATGAAGGATGATTTAGGTTTGTTCTATGCAATTCATTTATGACTTCTGGCAAACAAATTGTTGTACCAATTAGTACTTACAGTCTTTCGATCCTCTAAAGCCAAAGTTGTCATATGTCCGGTATAACCAAAGAAACAAGCAATCATTTGCTTGGCAGCACTGCGTGAACGAATAACTTTTGTTGGTTTCGGTTCATTTTGAAATACCCAAACAATGGATTGTTGTTTACTTTCGGGCTCATACGAATAGATCCATGTTCCCCAGTAACGATGTTGTGGACCAAATTTGACCGACCTCGGTAGAATTTTTTAAGCATGTCTTTGCTCCACAAGCCTATTTTTGAGTTTTGGTCAAATTGTGTAGGAACGTCGTCCAACGACTGTAAAGTTCCGTATGCTTAAGTGATCATGCAAAATCGTATGTATTGCTTTCATGTCAATGCCTAAGGATGCCTGAATCTCGCGGTATGTTATATGCCGGTCTCGCTCAATCATTTCACGCACAGCATCAACATTAGTGGTAACAACAGACGTGGATGGATGACCTTCACGGAATTCATCACTAAGAAAGGTACATCCACGCTGGAATTTGGTAAATCAATTATAAAGTCCTATTGGATGGTGCTTCATCCCCAAAAGCCAAATGAAGTCGATCGATGCATTATTTCGGAGTTAGATTACATTTGTAATCATAAAAAATCATTGCTCGAAAATTTTCACGCGAGATTTCCATTTTCTTACAAAATAACTTCTTTTAAAATACTATGCAAACAAAACTAGTTGGCTTTGGTACAAACTGTCAATTGATTAGGTTAAAAACGTCTAATTTTACGGATATGATAGTAACAGAACGTTGGCGCCACTGGAAGTACTAGAAACTTTTTCAGCAGCCTACGTATATACCATATATTTATTATAGTACTATTAAATTAAACTTTCGTCTGTCAATTAAATAAAACCTCTCCTTGTATTTATTAGCGGTTGCATTTCGCCCTCTCCCCGATCACTTATATTAAGTTCCACCGAAAGCCAGTGCATACGGACGTACTAGCACATCTGATGTTAAGTGCACCCTCCCAGCACACTAACTCAGTTTGGACCCTTTAAATTAAAAGTCCGACTCGTGTATCCGTTTAGCGGAGCACGAGTTAAGGTTTCCACTTCGTCCTCCATTTGACCCCCGGCTCGTTAGGAGCCTCAGAACGAAGCGAAGTGCCTCTCGATTTGCGTCGGTCCTTCCCCACAGTTCTCTTGCGGTCCGGAGCCTGGACACGACCAAATCCGTCTAATAATTCGGTTCCTGTTGCGTTCACCCCCTCAGCTCCATGCTTGCGGAGCTTGGATGTAACACAAATCATAATAAACTTCGATGAATAAAAATGTCGGAAGAAAGAAAACGTTGAAACCTATGGAAATCTAAGGAAAATCTAAATAATTTCTATCGTAATCTGTCGCTTTTTTAAATCTCGAAAGGAAAAAAATTTTAAAATAAAGGTATCCGAAAGAAATAATATCATTCTCCATCAATCTCGTTTCCTGTTTAGAGAGTATGATTTCATCGGAATACGATAAAATATCAATAAAGACGTAATGTTTCATTACAAGTTCTTTTGAAATTTCTCTTTCTATGTATACTTCAAAAATCACTGAAAATTTGCCATTAGTAATGGTGTATTTACGGTAGTAGAAATTTTAAGTTCACTATCGCATAATTACGAGGGCAAGTCAATAAGTTTTTAGAAAAACATAGTAAAACACATTTTTTTTTATTGATTCATTTTTTTTATTTCTTAACATAGTCTCTTTTCAGCTTGATACACTTGATCCAACGATTCTCCAACTTTTTCAAGCCGTCCGAATAATATGATTTGTCCTTCAAAATAAGCCTCTGTTTCAGCGATGAGCTGCTGTCTGGTGATGAATCTCTTTTCTTCGAACCATTTCTTCAGGTTTGAAAACAGGAAATAGTCGCAGAGGGCTAAATCTGGCGAATATGTCGGATGGGGAAGCAATTCGTAGCGGAATTCGTTGAATTTGACCATCGGTGCCCGGTACGTGTGAACCCGTGCATTATCTTGATGGAAGAGCACTTTCTTCTTTGCCAAATGGGGACGTTTTTTCTTGAAAATGTTGTTGAAACGATCCAATAAGGCTGCTAATCGCCATTGATCGTTTGCTTCTACAGAAGGTAATCGATATGAATTATACCGCGTGCATCCTAAAAACTGACCATTATCTTTCCGGCCGATTTCACGGTCTTCGCCTTTTTCGGAGCTGGTTCACCCGGTGAAGTCCGTTGTTTTGACTGTTTCTTCGTTTCGGGTGTGAAGTAATGGATCCATGTTTCGTAACCACAGTATTGAATCGACGCAGAAATTCATCTGAATTACGTTGAAACATTTCCAAACATTGTTTTGAAATCGTCGCGCTTACGGTCCACAGTGAGCAAACGCGGCACCTTGCCGATAGCTTTTTCATATCCAATTGTTCGTGTAAAATTAAAATCACTGTGCCATGTGATATACCTATGGCCTCAACAAGCTCGCGCACTTTTACTCGTCGATCAGTCAAAATATCATGAACTTTATCGATGATTTCTGGTGTAGCAGCCTCAATTGGACGTCCCGAACGAGGTGCATCACATGTGGATGTACGACCACGTTTAAATTCATTCACCCAATTGTATACAAACGCAAATGCTGGTGCAGATGTATTATGAACATTATCCAACTCGGCTTTGATTTCTTTCGGCGTTAAACCTTTCATATGTAGATGTTTGATCACTGCACGAAACTCGTTTTTTTCCATTTTGCAAAAAATACAAAGATTGTTCGCTTTAATCGACTACAGAAATGAAACCACGCGATGAATTCCGCTCAAAATTTGACAGTAATCAGCTGTAAGATGCTACTTGTCAAAAAGTTATGTGACATGACACTACGAGTGCCTTTTGACAGATTTTTTAAAAGCTTATTGACTTGCCCTCGTACCAAAAAAGCTCTTTGATGTTAACATACGATATTTGACATAGTATTGGATTCTCAAGGTATAATTAATTATCGTAGGCGGTTCATCGTAATCAATTATAAAATCGGAGAAGAGTACATGTTTTTCTATCGTATTATTATAAAAAGCGTAGTATGTTATGCATAATAAATATTTTATGTATATATCGTAATTCTCTAATGAAATACTTCTTAGCCCAATACCCAAAGATTTTTTGATCGCAACGAATGCAGGAGTTTTTATATTTGATATAAGCATAATTTGGAGTGTCCTGAACTGCAGTGAATGTTTTGCCACCTTTTTTGCCGCCAGCGCTACCATATTGAAAAAAACAGCGGAAAAATGGCACTTTTTGGAGTTTCTTCGAAATATCTCGCGTTTGACGTATTCCACCACAAAAATAATTATTTTCAAAAATACAGCTAAGTAAATTTTTTACAAATTATAACTTACAAAGTTTTTTGAGCAATAAACAGTTTTGAAGCTAGAGCGCGGTAAAAAAACTTGTTTTGACGGAGTACTTACAGGAATCATATTAAGTAAGTCTTAATACTGGATATTTTATGGTTTTATTATCATATCCCTAAATATAAAAATGAATGAATATATATAATATCGCACAAACAGTAATAATATAATTAATAAATAATATTATTTCGTGACTTGTGGAATGCTGCGTGCATGCGTGCGCGCGTGCGTGCGTGCGTACATTTTGTCACCCTAAGCGTACGATGCATTAGTAGTTTAAGAAATATTGATTTATCGATTTAACAAAAAAGAGAACATCTATTATATAATTACGAAGTTGTCTCGTTGCAACCCTTGATATAACATTATAAAATATTATAAATATTAAATCTCTCCATACGAGCATTGATATTGTACATTATATTGTAAGTTGCAAAGAAACATTTATAATTTTAATATTTAAATGTGTTAAATTTATACGAAATATTCATACTTGAATATATTAAGTTATCTCAGTTTACATGAAACATTTTTAACATTAATCAATTGAAGATGAACGATGGATCATTATATGGATTGTCAAGCTCCTCGAAGTCGTCTTCGTCGTGTGCGATTTCTTGTGCATTCTCGCACGATCTGTATGAGCCAATTACTGAACATTTAAGCCCGGTCTTTTTGTAACTGCAAAGCGACCAACATCCTTTTTGCAAGAAATTATTTTAGATAGTATGTGCTATCCGGTGCTGATTTCTTAGTTGTAGTAATTGGAGGCCAATATTTTGATGTTGCCATCCCCATTCCACCGGATGAAAAATTTTCCTATTTAAATTAAATTTTTATGTTTTATAGGATTAACTCTTTAATTTTTTGTAATGACACTTAAATTGATCAAGGTAAATTTTGCGATAATGTTTTATATAATATTTTACAGGAGAATTAAATAACCACTATTTCAGTTGGAAGAGAAAATGATTTTGAATGAATTGTGATATAATAATTTCATTTAAGAAGAATTTAAACCATTTAGATTGGAATAGGAAGATCCTTCAACAAGATATACGTATAATTAGGTTTCATTTTATAAAAATTTTACTAAAGATAGTATCATTTGGATTAAGTAAATAATAATAAACATACTATCATTTGGATTTTACTTTTTATTTTGATAGTAGAATTTAACTTGGCGCCACAGTTGATTCAATTCCTTTATACAAATGATACATAGATATGTTAGATTAATATTCATTATTTATTTAATTTGGCATGGTATAAAAAAATGAGATTTACCTTTCGAATATCATTAAAGTTAATTTCATTATTTATATAATTTGATATTTGAATTACATGGAATTTAACTTGGCGCCGATTGTTGATCTGGTCAAATATTTTTTACGAATAATACATAAAATTTTGAGGAATTTCATTTGGCAAATTTTGTTGATATCAAATCTTTTACGATTGATACATATCATTAGAGTTAAATAAATAACATGGCAGTACTATTTGTGTTTTATATTTTAATTTAATAGAATTTAACTTTATTAGTTAAGATTGTACAATAGCATCTGAGTTTTAATTTTTCATTTGATATATTAATTTTTTTCGAAGGGTAATAATTTTTGATAGAGAATTAAAGTTGCCATTACTTGAGTTGGAATAAGATCTTCAATAAGAATATCCTTGAAAAAAAATTAAAACTACTATTAAAATTACTATTAATTGGGTTTGATACTTAATATTATATACAAAGAGCTGATTTCACCAACTCGATTAAGCCGAATCGGTGTCAATCAGTTCTACTAACCAGCAAATACAATTAGTCAGTTCCACGGCCAATTAAGCAATTGGCGTTGATAAAACCGACCCAAATGATTTTTCACGAAAAGCACGCGTGCTTAGCGCTTTTTTTACCTTTTTTTAAAAAAATAAGTTTATATAAATAACAAAAAACAATATCATTTATGTTTTACCTTTTAATTTAATAGATTAGTAGTTTTCATGAAAAGGAAAGCTTTTATAGAATGAAAAATATTTTTTTAAATAAAATATACACTGAAACAAAAATAAATTATTACCATTAACAAATTCTTATACATAATTATTATTATGTAGTCACATATAGTAAACACATATAATAAACAAAATTTATGTATTTATTTAAAATTATCCATTTTTAAAGTAAATCATAGTACTTTAGTATAAAATAATAATTAGTAAACAACACTTGATAAATTAATATGTTTTTAAATTAAGTTAAAATGAAGTAAAAATTAATAACTTAACAAATCAATTTTATTCATCAATTATATTCATAAAAATTATGTTAACATAAATTAAATTTAAAATTATTTTTGATATGATTTTTTAAAATCATTTTTCTTTATAGATAAATTTGTTAACGCTTGATTTATATTGGGAAATCATATTTTGAAATGTAACTGCAGAAAATACAAGTAATATATTACTAATGTGTTTTATATAATATATAACTACATAACTGCATAAGAGATTTATTTGCAATAATTTTCGTTTAAATGTATATTTTATTGCACATGTAATATACAGGATGATCCACTAAAAATCTTAAACATTTCACTTATATTAAAGGAAGATATTGCATCGTTATTATTCATAAAATTAATATTAATAACTGTTAATACTCACATTTTTGCACGAAAAGTTAATGTTAAAATATTCAAATTCAGAGAGATCTTCATCTGTATCAGTGTAGCAGTAATAACATTATAACATATTAAAATAACAATCTGAATTTAATAAACCATTACATTTACAAATAATAAAGAGTGACCGCAAAAAAAGGGTTTTTTAGGTCCCCAATTTTTGGACTGAAAAAATTAGACTGAACTATGTGCCAAATGATATCCTACAATGAGATATATGATAACTGTGATTAATGTCTGAATATAAGGTAAAATTTGACAGTTCAGTTCCAAAATTGAGGATTCAAAGAACGGGCGATTTTTGCAGTCACTATTTTTAAGAAACTAATGTATATAATCAAATAATAAAACATTTACGAAGCAACCTATTGGATTACCTTTATTAATGAAGATTACAAAATCTTTCACTCGATTCTCAAAATCACCGAAAATCAATCAATCAGCACAATCAAATCATTAACTATGTCACCAATTAAAGTGGAAAGGTGTGCACATAGTGTGCTTAGTTTGAACAAATCACGTCTCTTTTGCGAGTGGAGATACCGTTCAGAGTACCAGACCTGCTAACTATAAAAAAATAAATGATGTTGCTACGATCAGATGCCGCTATGTGTCCTTTTTTCTCTTCGCGCTTCATTTCTAGTGCGTTCGGAGAGACGTTATTAGCGCTACTTATGCCATTCTATCTTCGTTGTTTATTAGTCGTAATATAAGGATAATATATAATATAAAAACTATATCTAGCAAGCGCACTATTAGCGCCATAATCGATGTCATAAATCCCTATAAAATTCCCACAGAAAATAGATGTGTGATGTGACCATGTATTGCCAACGCCACATTTGCCTCTTGCGCCAAAAATTCCAAAATGACAAATCCTCCACTCCGCAGCCGGCGACGATGACGTTACTTAATCTTAATATAAAAGTTTCGGATTTTGCGTTGCAATATCTCGTAAAGCACGTAGAGAAAAAATAAAAATACTTTCATTATATTGTATATTTAGACCCGATGCAATCGATTGAGCACATTTAGAACCTGATTAGTTCAGCCCTCATTAAGATCCAATAATCTCGATCCCTGGCAATTCGCCGACTCGAGTAAAGTAGCTACGGCTGTCGCTGCGCGTAGCTTAACGCCGAGATATTATCAGTGTCTTCAGATTTTTTTAACGTAATGAACATGAGCATTAAATTTGATAAATAATTTAACTAAAACATTCATTTTTCAATTAGTATTTTTCAATACACTTAAGTTTTCAGTCACTACAAACTTAACATCTCATTATCTGTACATAAATAATCTTTTCAGTTACAGAAAATTTAAATTTTCTTCATCAGTGAATATTAAAGATTAATAAAATTTAAGAACGTTTCTAACGGTGTACACAATTAAACTTGTTAAATGGCAAGAAATATGTAAAAAAGAACCTCAGTCAAATGCGATATTATACATGAAAAAATAATACATCTGGATTTACAATGTGTAGCGGCTATCTACGCGAACTTATACTATAATTTCAAGTGTACATGCATTAACACTTCAAAAAATAAAACTCCAGCAAAATATAACATAAAACGACGATAGCTCCAAAGTGTGTCTCAAAGCGTAATTAAATAGAAACATCGTACAATAAAGCTTGCGGAAAAGTTTCGCGACCATCAGTATACGCTTTGCGTAATGCTGTAATTAATTACATCGCTAACATACCTATAATTGTGTTAAAATGTATTTAATCGTGCTAAATGTGATTTATAATAAGAAATGTGTAAGGAAAACTTAAGCTAAAATAATATTTTTGAATAGTGTAGGCGCGATGCGGTGGAACACATAGGATCGCCAGGCTGTGCTAGGCGACTTCTTCCCCCTCCCTGCGCACCGCCGTCGCTGTCACTCGAGTGTGGGCCGTCCTACGAATTCGCGCGGTGCGGCTTAACCGTGTATTGGCTTAGACGTTTCCTTTTCTAATTCGAAAACTATAGCGAATATCTCAAAATGGTAAGAATTTTTTGTTCTCTTTGATCCATTCTCCGCCCTCAATGTGGCCCCGACCCATCTCGTGTTCAAGCATGTTTTTTATCTCACTCTAGCTTCGAAAGTATTTATTGCACAAAAAAACTTGTAAGATGTAATTTGTAGAAAATTTATTTAGTTTTATTTTTGAAAATAACTATTTTTGCGGTAGAATGCGCCAAACGCGAGATATTTCGAAGAAACGTATTATTTTTTCTCTATTTTTTCAATATGGTGGCACTGGTGGCAAAAAAAAGGTAGCAAAACATTCACTGCAGATTAGAACACCCCAAATTATGATCCTACCAAATAAAAACTCCTGCATTCATAGCAATCAAACAAGGTTTAATTCTCTGGGTACTGGGCTATATAAAAGGAGAACATATAAAGAGTTAATCGTGAATATTGATTATAACAGACTTTTACGTTTTATGGAAAAAGAAATGATAAGGAACAATGAAAGAATTTAATGTTATAAATACACTACACAAAAAATTGGAGGATTACTTAGTATGTCCTCCAAAAATAGATAATGTTCAAGAGAGTGTAACTTTGTCAAAAATAATCATAACGGGATTTTTAAAAAAGTATTTTAAAGCTTGAAATCTCTACTTTCGAGGACGATTAATTGATATTTCGATCTAATTAATTTTTCACAAAGTTATAGGGAATTGTAACTGGATAGCTTTCAAATTTTTTAAAATTTTGTACATATTTTACTGTTACGTCCGGCGGACTCGCACGACTCTTTTCTTTCGTAGAGATCTGGAATTCGTCGAAACACTAAAATTTTATCTTCTTTCCTTTTTTTTTTATCCTAAAAACTAAAACAAGGAATCCGGTATCTCCTCGTGAATGTCGTTCCGAAATAAAAATCATTAATAAATACGTATGGAAAGCGTAAGACCGGCGCCAAGATTAACGGTCAAGTCGCGGACGATTCTCGCGAATCCGTAATTACAAAATCTAGAAACGGCACGCGACGTTCAGGGGTAGATTCTGGGTGGTCCCGTGGTGACGATGTTTGCGCGCCTTCTTGATGCACAAGACGTGCGTTTTCCCATAAATCTTAAGATCATAAAATTTTGGAGGACACTTTTCTATACTACAGATTCCTGTCAACATCTTTCCTCCCCTAAAATCTTGACCAATCCAAGAGCAAAGGAAAATCCTACTACCAGCTAATGAAACCTATTCCACCAATCCAAATTTGAGTAATCTGGAGCGATTAGTATAAAAATCGCGGTTCCGCAGCCCTCGTCGCAGATTTTTCTCTAAGTTCTCAAGCTACACTTGTTGTGATTTTCTCGAGCTACACTTGTCGCGAGATTATTCCTTCAAGTCTAGAGAA